GGTGGGTTTTTTTTTACTTCCTACAATAAAAAAGCCTTTTTTTTTATTTGAAAGGGATATTAATAAAATCTGGTAAATGATTTTTAGATGATATTTTGCTTCTATTTAATTTTTCACTTCACTTTTTTGTGTTGAAATTTTGTGCTTTTCTAGACCAACTCCTATTTTGCCTATTTGGAAATATTAGTACTGTATTGATGGACGGACGGACCGACAAAATTGTTGATGTTCTTTTTGATTGATAAACAGTCTGCACTCAGATATGTTGTTTTTCATTTTCCTCTTTCATCCAACTGGATGTTTTTGTTACATTCACTCAGTCTCCCTTCAGCTGCTGACTTCCTCAGGGATGCATTATTCATTTTACTCTGTATTCTTCCCTCTGAGCATCAGAGTCTAGAATTGATTTAGTGACCAGTGAAACATGGTGACCAATTTGATCTGCCTACTCTACACAGGTGATAAAGCCTTTCAGAAGTGTGACCTGCAGTTTGAATTGTGGAGAAAAAAGGAGTGCCTTGTGTCAGAAGACCTGAGGTTTTGGGGAAATGTAGTAAAATGTGAAAAGAGCGAAACTACAGCAGGAAGCTGAACAGGCTTACCTAATTTAATATGGTGTTAAATCTGAATGGGTGGAAAGTCTCCTCAAGTTCTCAGTATTTGCACTCCATCAGTTTCAGCTCCAAAAGACACTGTAGGCTCTGCAACAGCAGTTAGTGTCAAACTGATCTACAACGTCTGCTTAGACGCCATTCTTCTTCAGTCAACAGTTCACTGTTATGATTCAATGCATAATTGGCTTTCTACCAACACCATTTATTTTTATTTCTTCTTCTTGGCACGTTTCGTTTTGGCTTTTGACTCGAACCAGGATGGAAGACAAGTGTTTTGTTATTAATTATTACAGCTGGCAAACACAGCTGGTACAAGCTGCCATTACCTTTAATCCACATTAAATTGGCTGCTTAAAATAAAAATATATCCAAGTATGTGTGTGTGTTTTTTTTTTTTTTCACAGTCTGTGAGAATGGGAGGGGGAATGTTCATATAACAATGGTAAAATGTCAGAATTATGTGATTGTGTGCTCATGAATGCCAGCAGATAAACAAAGGCTTTTGGTATTCAGTCAGTGTCGCTCATGCATGTCTACCGCCTCAACCAATCACCGAGATTATTCCTGCAGGGAGTTTCTTTTGTGGCGTGTATGTCTCTGTATTTCATCACCTCTGAGATACTTCAAGCCTCAGCTGATGATATCTGGTCCTGCTCGGAGTACTACCTCATAAACACCTCGACACGGACATGGATTCACATGGACACACAGCTGCTCTGGTGCTTGCATTAATCTTTAACAGCATCGTTTATTTTCTCATCCTGACCCTCCGCCCCAAACGCTCCACCAACATGTCAGAGCTGTGACGTATTGCTGCTTCCTGCTCGCTATTCATGTGCACCGTGTGATCCAGATGATCAGATAAATCACACTTTATTCACCGGAGGTGCACATGAATGGAGCTGTCTCGTTCCCCTGCCTTTGAATGCTTCTCCACCAGGCAGCGGAGCTGAAAATATCTGCATTTTCACCGGTGGAGGAGTCTGATTATGGACAAATTTTAAGTTGAGCTGAACATCTGGGTTCTCACTTTCATAAACTGATCTGGCCTTAAAGCTGTGAGAATTAAGTTTTATATAAAATAAAAAATAAGTGTTTTTACATAGTTGTTAGAGCTTTCATCATGTCGTGACAGTGTAATATGAGACAGATAATATGTGAAAAGTTTGATCTCCTCCACCTTCTCCCTGAGTTCATGTTGCCATGTGAAGAAATGCACCACTCTTGACCAAAAACAACCAATCAGAGCCAGGAGGAGGGTCTTAGCACTGTCAATCATCTCAAGAACATGCTGCTAATTAACCTGTAAAGGGACTGCAGATATGAATTAGCTTATGCTATAATCTGATGCACCACATCAAATGGTGACATTATGTCTGAGCTGTACATTCTTCCTTTCTAAATAGAGTTTTTTTTTTTTCTTAAATGTGTTAATGGCAGAGAAACAAATGACTGTTAGCTCCTAAGAACAGTTGTAAACGGCATCATGGGGAAGCATTGTTTTGATGACATGCTGAACGGGGTGTCGGAAAGGGTAGGAAATTCTTAAAGAGACAGAGACCCAATTTCAAGGCAGAGTCAAATTTCTTTTAAGTTATGTCTTTTGTGCACAAAATGCCAAACAAGTGGTCAGTAGTTAAGGGACTGTTAATTAAAAATATCAAATATAATTGATTTTTGTCATTTAAAAAAAAATGCAGATCTAAATCAAGTTTGTTGCTGTATGACCACCACAGTAAAAGCCTACACTTATTGTTTTAGGATTCTAGAATATACCACCAATAAAAATATGATATGCATACAAACATCACAGAGTGTTATTTCCCTCTTAATCTATTTCTGAGTGAGCAAGCAGCAGATAATTTAAATGTTACCTCAGCTTCTCAAAAGCTTCTCTGAAATGTCACTTTTTAAACATTGATTGAAAAGACCTGACACTTAGTGGTTGCCTTTTTTCACACTATATGGTCAATTATAGTACTGTAAAATACATATTAACCAGCCATACCTTGTTCTATCTGATTTACATCTTGTACTGACGAGGCGTTTTTCAAAAATTAACTCAATCTATTTAAAAGAGGAGCAGAAGTGCCTCCACCTGTAGGGGTGATTAAGGAGAGAGTTATCTATTCCACACGGGTGAGCGAGAACATGAATTTGCATAGAGATGTTTTATATTTCCCTGTTTTTGATAGGTTTATCTGTGTTATGAAGAGTTCCCCCCGAAGGAGAGAGACTGTAAATATTCCCGGTGTTCAGAGAAAGTCAACCATTAAACACCTGTTTAATTAAAGAATAGCAAAATATGTCAGACTTGTTCTGCCAGAAGCGCTTCAGTCCAGGTGTTGTCAGTATAAAATAAGTTTTTATGTATTTTGCTTGCAGCAAAGGAGTGAATTTTCCAAAAAATAAAGCATGTGGTTATGTTCATTAAATTTCCAAAATAAAATTTGCTCTCTGTGGCACCTTCATCTACCCCCTGAGAGGAATGTTTGACTAATCCTACTTGCTCAACAGTAAGCTAATATGTAATACTTTATTTCACCAATAAAGTAGTCAGATTTCTTTGAAGGTAAATGTGTAAATGATTATTGAGCCAATACTTTAAAATATTTTTTGCATATTTGTCTTATTAAGTCCATTTTTATGTAAAGGTGAACTATTATGTTTCCTTGAACAGGGTAGAATTGGTCTATGGTCTTGTCAAAACATGTTGGACGTCCACTTCAGTTGCTAGGTGACAGGACTGGGCTTTGAAGATTTGTGACATTACATTTGAAAGGTTTTTGAAATTACTCGTTTTCCTGACACCACAAAATTTATTCATTTATTGCCAAAAAGAGTTTGTTGGTTGTTTTAAGTGCTTGTTCAGTTTTTAGAAGCAGTTGAAACCCAAATGGAAGAATAAAAGAGAATGAACAATTAAGGAAGTCCGTGGCTTCATTTGACAGAAAAAACATTTTTGTCACCCTCCTTTAAGCGCAGTGTAAAAATGAAGAGGTCGGGAAAATGACATGTTGTGACGGGAATTTAGTCGGACTAAATTCCCGTTTAATCTGTGAATTGAGGAAACGTAACAAAAATTACTGTTTAACACATTTGAGAGTTTGGTTCTCCATCGTGCTTACTGTTGAAGACTTGAATGTGTCATTGAGCAATGGCTGTTTGGACTCCCAGCAGCTGCTCAAAACGCTTTGAATTGCATTTAGTCATGGCTATTGATCTGCACCTGATGCTTAGTTGATTTGATGTGACTGAACGGTTGGGTTTACCCCAAGCGGCGCCTGCACTGGCACTACGGTCAATCAGAGCCTCTGGGTGAAGGGCCAGCCAATTACCTTCTGTGTGTGTTTTGTTTTTCTTCAGTGCTGTTATATTGTGCCTCTTTGCAATCAAGCAAAACAAGAGAGGAGTAATAGTTGAAGTTAGACTCAGTTTGCAGAGCTCTAGAGTTGAAAGTCACCACTGGAGTTCAATGTCACTGACGGTAATTTTTTTTATTTTTTATTTTACTGTCCATGTCCTAAATGCACAACAATGTTTTAAATAATCCTCAAATTCTCAGTTTTATGATGAAAAATGTCCAATAATTAAAAGGGTAATCTGTCAAAATTACAACTATTAATTGCGGATAAGCATAAATGTAGGAAAGACTGGTAAGGTGAAAGCAATGGCTGAAAAAAATCTTGTTTCCAGTTTGTTGATGGGACAAGTGAGTTTGAACAAATATCTTAGCCTACCTGGAATAAGACAAAACTAACTCATGTAACTTTTTCAGCTACACGTACTAACTTGTTTTAAGTCAGTCATCCTTAAATATTAATAAAAACTATTATTTCCAATGGACTTAACTACTAGTTAAGAAATTTCTGACATAAAACAAGCTCTTATATTTTGCGGAAAAGTTTTCTTGTATGTTAGTTCTGTCTTACTTAGTGTGTACTGAGATATTTGAACTAAAAACTAAACCAAAAATGCTTCATTAGATTTTGTTTTTGCAGTGTAGTGATTACTCGTATAAAAAAATGACATATTCTGCAGCTTTAAATAAATAGATCCTCAGTGTTTTTATGATATATTTGATTCCTTGCTTTGCTGGTCGTCATCTTACTGACTACCAGCAAATAAAATGCTGCAATAAGAGAAGCCTTATAGACCAACTTTCTTTCAAAATGTTGTTGTTTTCTTTAAAATGTTAACCCTCATATTATCCAGAAAGAGCATTCTCCCTTCTTGTTGTGAGGCAAGCCGAGGGCCGCTGTGCACTCCGACTAGAGCCATATAGATTGGCAGAGTCTCACAGATTATGTCCATTGATTGGACAGAAGGGGTTTGTGGTTTCAATTGATGCAGCTTTGTGTCTGATTTTCTGTTCTGTGATTTCAGGGGCCGAAGGAGCAGTGTTCAGCAAATCTGTGGAGACGCCGCATGTCAGAGCCGAGCCATTCAAAGAGCTACGGTGAGTCGGGCTCTGCTCAAAGACCGGATTCATGGAAAGGAGCCTTTTATTGACATTCTTTTACACCAATTAACATAAAACAATTCTAAACAAATAATTAAAGGTTATAAAGATACAATACAGATTTTTAAAAAAAAAACACTGAATACATTACCAAGGCTGTTTATTAGAAAACTACACTGCAAAAGCACATCTTACAAAGTATTTTTGTCTAGTGTCTAGTGCAAATATTTTATTACATGTAAAATAAGACAAAATTTACTTTTTAACAAGAAAAAGGAGATTCTTTAAGTCAATTATTCTTGAATATAGATTTTTTTTTTCATGTACAATAACAACATCTTTCCTATTTTAATTGACAAAAATCTGCCATTGGCGTAGTGCTTGTATCTATTGACTTAAACCGAGTAGATTTATCTTGCTGAACAGCTACTCTAAGTTATTTTGTCTTAATTCAAGTGGACTAAAATATTTGTATTAGAAACTAGATTAAAAAATTATTAGTTTTTGATTATTTTTTTTTTACTTTTGAAAACTTTTGAAAACTTTCTGATCTTCAAAATTCAAATAAAAATTCAGCTCAGAAAATTTCCAAGTTTTTGTTTTTTTCAAGTGTGTGAAATCAACAAATTTTCTCACAAATTGTTTACGAGAAATTTTAAGCTTTATCTAAAACTTTCTGAGTTTATTGATGGAAATGTACTCAACTTTTTCTATCTGACTCTAACATGCTGTTGTGGAACTCTTCAAAAACGACTGAAAACTATCCTGTTCCCTTCGTCTATGAAGGGCTACAGGACTATTACAAGATGCATGAACAGCATTATTTCACACTGAATGGAGTAGTGATTAGCTACTTTATTCATTTTCTGTTCTAATGAACTCAATATTTCTTTTCTGGGCTATTGAACCAATCTATAAGAGGAAAACACAATTAATAGACATTAAGTTAGTCTTTCATGGGGTCAGTACTTTCTTTTGAGGGGCCAGTAATTCAGTAGTTATAGCTTTAGATTTGTATCCAGTGAGACCATGAAAACAACCAACAATAAAGCATATTACACCACATTTAAAAAGAATGAATTGTTGATGTTTTCTGATGTTGATGTTTTCTTATTGATGTAAAACAGGCACAAAGCAGCCTAAAATATGCTTACATGATGTTGATTCCTGCAGTGTGTATTTCAAGAAATGAAAACTTAGCTGCTGAGCCTCAATTGTCACTCCAGATTGACCATTACAGGAGAGGATATTGCTTTCAAACAGTAAAAATAGTTTGACAGCAGTAACAACACAGGCAGAAAAGAATGGAGTTGTAAAATTACAAGACTGATTGCTGTTGTTTTCAAGATGCTTTTTTACCGTGGAGTTGTTTTTTTGTTGTTGTTTTTTTTCTTTGCCTTGGTTCAGTTATAAATTAATTTTTTTGCAAGCCATTGTCTTTATGACTTATATCAAACACACAGCCAATTAAATCATCACCTTAGTTGGCTGCTTAATATTTTATTCCCATCAGTTTGATGTGATATTTGAGCCAAAACTGTTTATAAGCTTAATCTTGTTGGCAATAAGTCCCACATAGACATAAACAACTTAACAGCAATAACTCACAAATGTTTTTGGTTCGTAAACCATTCACATTTCACTCAGCTGCAGATTTTCACACCTTCCGGTTAACTGAAATGTCTAACCTGAGAAGAAGGCAGAAAAAGCGAATCAGTGAAGTGTGTAAAAACAGCTTTTTGTCATGGGTGGTTAACACTCTGTAATGATCCCAGTTTGTTGGAGCCAGAGTTGTGTTGTGTATCTGTGAGATCAATGGGTTCATCTTTGAAAACAGATGTTTTGTCCTTGTGCGTTTTCTCTTCCCTCTTTATCAAGAGCCTATTGTTTCTAAATCAAAACTTAAACCCTTATCACCGAGATGCAAAAGTGGATAAGATACAAGCAGTGACTAAAAGACACAGAAAATAGCTACAGCGGAGGAAAAAAGGTAGACCAGACCAAAACATTATGTCATCATTGTTTTTAACTGGATACAGAGCTCACTGAGAACTTAGCTGTAGTTATCACCTGAAACAACATCAAGCTGATTGTAAACATCACTGATATTGGAGAAACATTCACAGAAGTCCAAATCCAGCTGTCTGCAGCATTCAACCATTCCAAATTGTTTCACAGGATATGAGGTTCTTAAAGCAAAAGAAACCTGCTTTTATTTGTAGAAACAGCATCATCAGAGACAACAGATCTTACATACTGAAAGAAACAAATCCATGAACACCATTAAAAATGGATCCAGTGTCTCAGGATAAACCAAATCTGTTTACACTGGTAGAAACAAAATAATTACTGAATAGGATAAATCCTGGTTTTTAGGAGCTGGTAAACAGAAAACTGTAGTGATCAGATTGGCCTGGTTTATGTTTGCCCTCAATGAGGGTGTTTTTCTCTTTTTGTAGCAGCCTGGTCACACCTTCATGTTTCTGCTTTGAGCGAACGATGTCCAACCTAACACCTGCTCCTAAGTTGATGTTGCAGCCAAGCTTTTCACAATGTGAATCCACTACTTTTTCTCGGGGCAAATTATTGCCTCCTATAACAGCAATCAAAAGATTTTTGGTGAAATTAGTTTTGAGGGTGGAAAAGCTTTTGCACAGGTGCAGTAATCTTCGGCTTGCTGTGTGGTGTTTTCCATCGCTTCTTTCCCCCTACAGCGCAGGTTTTATGAGCGAGTGTGAGGTGTGGACGTCTCTCTAATGTAAATGTCTTGTTTATCATCTTTCTCTCGGCTGTGCTGTCAGTTGTGATGACAGTCAATCAGGGCAACAGAAACCCAGAGGAAAAAAAGAGAAAGGGATGTGATGGATGTTCGGGTGGAGAGAATAAGAAAACATTGAAGGAAAGGTGTAGTGAAGCGGTGGGACTTTAAAGAGAAGTGTGTCTAAGCAGTTACATCCTCCATATTTGTGTTGTTGTATGTCAATTATGACACAATTATAGTTTTCTTAGACGATTACAATAAAAAGTCTAAAATATTATTTCTTCCTGATCATATAAAAATGAGAAAATATTTATTTCACATTCACTCTGTTGAAAGGCTGTTCAAATCCTTTAACACCAGCCCCGTTTAACCCGACTCTAGATCGTTTATCTAGAAAGTCTGGTTGGTTTGAGGATGGGTGGATGGGTGAATGCGCAATCGAACTCTAAAGCGGACTATAAAAGTAAACTCTAGTCTGCCTAAAAACCCAGGTCTCAGTTCAGTTGAAGTGAACTCTAGTTTTGGATGCATATGTGAATGCCAAGCAGAATGCAGTAACCTGTAGAAACAAATTTAATCAGAAACCAATCTGCTTTCATCTGTAGAAACAGTCGTCAGCAGAGATGATGGATCTTACAAACTGATAGAAACAAATCCATGAACAGCATTAAAACAGATCTGGTGTGGCAGGATAAACCAAATCTTTTTTCACTGGTAGAAACAAAACAATTACTGAATCAGATCAATCCTATCCAGACTGTAGTGCAGGGCGATCTATGTAATTACAACCAAAACTAGTGCAAGGGTCTAGATCTAGTGGGAGAAATGGCTCATGGTCTTATACCAATGACAAAAGAGAAATCCTACAACTTCTAAAATCTGACACCACCCCATTTGTATTTACATTTTGTGAAAAAGGAAGTGTCTTCTTCAGATGTTGTTGTGTTTCCTTCAGTGGTTCTTTGTGCACTGCCACCACAGGTGAGGAGGAGAACAAAAAGGTTTTGGTTTGTTTGAAGCAGTGCAGTAAGACAATGAATCATACCAGCTCGTAATTGCTGTATAGAAGCTGGCATGATGCAAAAAAGTTTCATTTTCAGTTTTGCAAAATACACAAATTTCAATATGGTTAGAAAAATCACCTCATCCTAGTGGTTTTATCGAAAGTGTCTTTGAAATTGGTCTGGTTCCATTCAGCAAAATTATTTTCATATTTCCAATTTGTGCAATTTTATGGTCAGTGGAAATGCAGCTACTGACACAAGGTGGATAGCAATATGATTAAATTAAGCAAAAAAACACATCTTTGCTGTTTCCTTATAAAGATATGGAACATTATATAAAACCTGTGCTTAATTCAGAAAGCTCTTTCTGTATATGTGACACTCGGCATTCCACCATCGTGGAAATCTGAATTGCTATATTACTTCATTGTAGCCATGCTGTAAAGCTTTTATTGTTTGTATTGTAAAGCAAAACAAAATAGAAATGATCACTGCGCTGCTGGTTTTTAATCAAAAACGTATTGGAGCATCGTTTTTGTCATGTGTTTTTATTGTCGGCGTGTGTTGGCCCTTAGGCTTCACAGACAAAGCATTTCAATGACAAACATAACAACGATTCAGTGATGAGGTGATCGATGAGGTGATCGTCATCAATCACTGCTGCTTTCCTTTGTGGGATCATTTCAAACACTTAATGCCTGAAGAAAGTTTCATTGATAAAGTTCAGATAATTTGTGAACGCTCCAAAGCACCCGTCACGTCATCGTCTATATAATTTGACAGTTTGCATCCATGCGATTGTGTTTTTCTTCCTTCATTGTCCTCAGTTTGTACATCTTTGGCACCAGCCAGCCAGTTGAAGATGAAAAATGGCCAATTATGTCAAGGAAGACGTGAAAGCTCATTGGAGTGTAGCTAAAATCTAATCTTTCTCAAATCTCTGCAAATCCATAGCAGGTAGCAATCAAGCATCCAAATCCTATTTGAGGATATCATAACACCAGACATTTGCACATAAAAACACACGTCCCACCCAGAGCTGACACTTCTGTTATTGAAACCGTGGCCATCATATCCATCTGCGCAGTAATGTCTTGTCAACAGGATGTGTCCTTGCATCAGTCAGTCGTCTTTGGGAAAGTGAAACTCCAGCGTGGCTGAATTCGATAATGCAGCTTGATTTATCTCCATACTAACTCTGAGCACAGATAAAAAGAATATATATGAAGCCA